CCCCAAAACCCCAAAACCCCAAAACCCCATATCCAATGCTATAGTTGAGGAGAATAAAATGTAATGTAATTAAAATGCTAAATTTTCTAACATTCATCAAATAACTGTGAATTTTTAAAATCTCTAAATCTGATTCATTATTGATCCTTATCACTCTCTTCATCACTATCATCTCTTTGCTATATTAAAAGGTTTTACCTCTCTTATTCAAATTCTTTGTGCTATTACTATGCAGTTTCCTTTTTCTCTGACACTCTTTAGTTTGTCTATTATTCTTATTTTTGTTCTTCTCTTTCTAATACATAACCTGAGTTCTATAATTGATCAGGTACTGCTGGTCTATCTAAAATTCCCTCCTCTCTTCCAGGTTTGTCAATATCTGTATAGAGTCCTCCTTGTAATTTCTTTTGGGCTCTTTATTCCTTTCTTTTAATTTTTTGCTCTTCTTTCCTCTTCTTTACAAATTCAAGCTTTGTTATAATGCCAGTAATAATACCTTTCTTAACTACATTAACTTATGAAATGTTGAGCATGATAAAAAGGAAGTGGAGCTTTGACATTGGAGTATCCTGCATTACTATAAATGGAGCAATGTCTTTAGATAGAATTGGGTCTTCATAATTTATTGGTGTCTTCCAAAATGCTTCTAAGGCAAGCTATTATCTTTCAATTCTTCTTTGATAATCATTTCCCTCTTAATCATCTAATAATGAGGCGCTAAATCCACTTCTATTTCTTGAGAAACCAGATTATCTATTTATAACACTAAGTTGTTAAAGCTGATATTCTCTCTAATTTACAAGTGGGTCAACCGTAATATCTTTATGGGCTGCATCAGATTAGTTGTTAATACAATTTAGCGAATAAAAATATTGATTCAAGACCATTTGAATTTCTGGTTCAAGCTTTTTAGAAGCCCTAAATCAAAACTTAACATTAAATATCTTACAATTTGTAAATTCTGAATAGATATTTTCTAAGTAGTTGAGCCTGTACAGTAAAGAGCAAAGTCTTTCTGTTAGCAGTTTCTACTACTGGTATTGTGGCAGGCCTATACCCAACTTAATTAACGATTATAGCAATATCCGAGATACTAGAATCAGAGGTTAAGTAAAGGAAGTTTTCATTCATTAGATCTTTGGCTGTTAAGCTATAGGTCGTAACTCCTGACATTGTGGGAAGGAATGGAAGGTTTTTTATTTCTAGCAATGCATCATACACAGATAATGCGATTGAATTGCTGACAGCATAAGCCATTAATGTTCCAACAAGAAGAGGAATCATGTGACTAGTTTGTCCTATAATTTCAAAAACAATCATAGCTATTGAAACTGTCCTAGTAATAGCGCCTCCTAATGATGCTGCACCAACAATGGCATAGATTCCTTCATCTAAAAATATTTTATTGAATTCAGTAAAACTTACGCTTTACTAGTTCAAATCCTAGTGTTAATCCAATATTCTTCAAGACAAAACCATAAAGTCTGCCAAAAACTGCACCTAAAATAAATGATGGTGTTAGCACACCAGCTGGTATAGGTGAGCATGTAGCCAAGATAATCAGAATGAATTTCCTAAATGGTTAACTACAGGATTTCTTACAGAATGCAATAAATTGAGAGATTGAATGGAGTGTTCGGTTTGCTCCATAATTCACTAGATGTGTCAAGATCGTGGCTTGCGAACATGTGATTTAAAATACGATAATCACTTTCCATCATAAAACTAACAGGAAATTTAGTTAATCCTACAACAAGACCAACTCCAATGCACCAAAGCCATCTATCTGATAGGATAGGGACCTTTAGTCTAGTTCTTAAAAATATGATTTTTGTCATGATTTAAATGGTTACTGCCCCAAATAACCCGCAAATTATCCCTAACAATGCGACTAAAAAAATCTCATGATCTACTGTAATAGCCATTGGGTATTTAGTTGGCTGATAGAGAACTAACCATTTAAGCATTTCAAGAACTTTATAGACAATTATACTGAAAGTCACACAGAAAAAGGATTTGAAAAGATTGCTGACCATATAATAAGTTGTTGATACTTCAATTGAAAACATAATAGCCCCCATCGGTGCTCCAAACGCCACAGTCATGCCTGCAGCTACAGCGGCAGAATACATGGTCTTTTTTAAGGCTTAATTGTTATTAATATCATCAAAACACTTAAATTTTGCAAGCTTAGATGCGATGCATGCACTCATATGCACAAATGGGCCTTCCCTTCCAATAGGTAGTCCTCCAATCAAACCAGCTATTAGTCCAATCATTTTACCAAAGCATGTCTACAATGATAAATATTTGTAAATATCTATTCCAGCAATTATAGCCTTCATTTCAGGAATGCCTGAGCCCTCAGCCTCAGTACTGATCAATGCTCTATAATCATTATCATATTTCAATAAAGTGATACCCTACTGAAGCAGCAATTATCATGAAGAATACAGCGGTTGCCACATATATACCGAATCTAATATAGTAATTGTACTCAAGATTGCTAACTATCGATAATTTAACTAAAGCAATTATCTTCAAATCTAAAATACATACGATCGATCATGTTCATTGAAATCAAATCAACTATGAAAGCCATAATAGCAGTAATGATTCCTAGCAAAGCAAGAAACAAGAAATGATGGAAATTTATGATTCCCACCTTCTCAAATATTCGAGTAAGAGCTCCAATCAATCTCATACTGCATTTCATAACCCCACTGGGAGGCTTTTACTTTTCAAAGGACTCATCTAAGTTTTATCCTCCCTAATTCACTGCAGTACTGGGAATGTTCTGCTTTAAACCTGGCACTTGAGCTACTTCATCATAGTTCAAAAAGAAATCTAAACGTATAGAATTTAAAATCTTTATCCACTAGTGCAAGGCTTATTTATTATTTACCTGTGATTATGTAGTTATGCCTCTGATTTGGTCTGGCTGGATTAACCTAAATGACAATAAGCTAAGATTGAGTTATATACAGCCATGTTATTGATATCAGCGGTAGCCATAGATCAAATATTTGTTTTTCTATTGACTTAATCTTATTAATGATAAAAATCAACACTTACTTATTATTAATATTTAAATTCTATTTTATCAACGCTTCCTAATAAATTATAGTACTTAGGGGTTTTGGGGTTTTGGGG